AGCCTAAAACTATTTATAGGTTACAGGGAATGTAATTTATTGTTTGTCAAAATTGTGATTATTAATTAATTGTGTGTCTTTGTGGGTTCATGAAGTGGATTAACCAAAGATCTGTATAACAATCAACTGTGAAAATGTTTTTTTGTGGTATTTCAAATCTCTAAAAATGACACTGAGGTACTGAGGTTTACTTTCCAGGTTAATATGATTGCACCCATTGGCACTGTTCCTATCCAGAATAATCACCCAACTGCTTTGGAGCTTGTTGAGAGCATCATTTAACTGAAGTGTGGGGAGAACTTCGATATTCCCGCTGCCTCCATGGCAAAACCAGCCGAAATAATGCCAGCCAGGACTGTGAAAATGTTAGTTGAAACATCAGTCATGCTGATTCCTGCACTCATCATCTGTCCTTACACCTTTCATATTACTGTCAAAGCTACGACACATGTAGAGCAAAGAGGTCCCTATGCACAGGGTCATCATCTATGTGCATGCCAATATCTGGGATGGGCTCTAAAGTCCATTGACATTCAACGCTGCCCCATAGCGGACCAGCCCTTGGATGAGCAGCCTGGGGTGGAGCATTCAAATTCATCAACCTGTCCTTGTAAATATATTTCACATGCTTTATACAAGTTTTGGCCAGGGCATTGTATTCTTGTAGTCATCTGTGTCTTAGGGCTACATTAGCCTGTCCATTGCTGTGAGATCCTGGATGCTTGCTCAGTGGTGCCTGTAAAACTAATGCTAGCTAAATCATAGTAATCCAGAGGTTTTCAGGAACTTTGGCATTTATTTGCTACTCACATAATAACCTGATTGGAGTCTGCTAGGTCTGTGTAGCCATTACTCCTGACAGATCGTTGTGGTTTCATGAGGAAATGCTTTAATCATGGACTCCCACACTGTGATTCAGCTCTGACTACAAGAGGGCCAACCCCAGCTCAGAGAAAGACCAAGGATATGGATCGCAGATGATGATTTAACATAGCCTGTTTGAGCTAGAGGCTTAATGAGGGCAGGACGCAATAATGGCTCAGTCGAGATTCGTTTTTTTTTAATTGGAAATTAAAGCGTCACACTCATTCATCAGATTCACAGATTCAATTTTGTTAAATGCAGAGAACAAACTCAGTAAAGGGCATTTTTCTAACCCCATGCATCAGGAGATCCTTAAACTCTGAAAGAGTTATGCATTATTATCACTTCCAGACACAGCATCACTGAAGGGTAATCTTGTGTTTCAAAAACCAGAATTACAAGTAGAACCATCAAGTAGCACAGAAGCAAGCCTATTCATCGGCCTGAGAAAGCGGGGAAGTATCCGCCCGGGGACAGTCACACCATAAAGAGTGATTTTAAACATCAAGCCCTTCCTTCCCCATGTGAGAAATTCAGAAGCTACAGCAAGCTTAAAACATTTGGGTGCTCTGGTTTCCTAGAAATGTATAGGTACTTGACACAAAACACGAGTGTGTGTAAGCTCTATAAACAATGCACACAATAAACAGAGTAAGCTGTCGTATCATTCAACTACATCCACACTTTAACCCAGATGCAAGAATTTCTTGTTTGCAAAAGAGTTTTCCTCCTGGTTACCTCCCAAGATACTATGCAATGATAGCAGTGTGCAATGTATCACACATAGCTACCAGCAGGAAACGCACAGTAGGAGACACTGTTAATAACTGCCTGGATTCTTCAGAAACAATCAGAAGATAAGAAGCAAAAGCTGAGAGTTGCTGGATGGTGGGCAGGCCTCACCTTCTTGAGGAGTCGAGTGGAGTCCTCACTGATCTGCATGAAACGGATGATGACATTGTTCAGGTACAGGTCACTGAGGGTGGCATGGTCCTTGCTCTCCCGCCTCACCTGGTTCAGTAGGAGGTACCAGCAGTTAACTGGGGACAGCAGGTTCTGGTCTTTCCTGGGATGGATGGGTTTGGGAACAAAGAGGGAAACTGACTGTCAGGCATAATCAAGGTCATCAAATATAATGATGGAAATGATGCCAACCAGCCCTAAAAAAAAGCCCTACCATCGACCAAGAATCACAGCTTCTCAAGTTTACGGTCTTGGAACAGGATGCTCAATAGTTTGTGAAGTGGATCATCATGTGTCTTGGATGGAAGAGCAGCAGATCAGATCAGTCTTATCCCTCCCCAGCGAGAGCTGGTCTACATCACTGAGATGGAAGACAGTGCTATAATGAGATTATGCTGCAAACCTTTGGATGGGGTTTGCATCAAAGACATTTCTAGGGCACAGATGTAGAGACTTAAGCAGCAGAGATTGAAAAGGTAACCGCTTCAGCACAATGGGTTTGAAAGCAGGGTTTAAAAGGTGGGTGAATAAAATAGCCCAGACCAAAACCCCAGGGGTACCTCAATTGGAATCAGTAGCTAAAGACTTCATATGAACAGAACATCCTACAGCACAGAAATGAGAAGATCCCAGGGGAATCTGAAAAAGCTACAGCAGTAACATCTTTCTCTGAATGTTTTCTGAGGAAAAAAACACTCCAGGCTGTCAAGCTTCTGTGAAATCAAATCACATTCCACAAAGAGATAAATAAAATGCACACAAGAACAACAAACATTTCCATGCTGCCACTATTTGCTTTCCTGGTTGACAGCTCTAACTGAGACAAATAACAGGTTTTAGGGTTTCTAAGGTTATAAGTTCTAGAGCCAGCAGCAGGTCCTCCTCAGATCTCAAGTCCTGTTCCTTAACTGGACCCTGAATCGAAAATGTCTGAGCATTACAGGTTTATATCAACAGCATAAACATACAATAGAAACAAAAAGGCTATTCCTGGCAAGCAAATAAGAGACACACCAACATCCTAGGTTCACAGGCTGGACAGACTAAAGGGTACTTCCTGTCAGGAGGCTGGCTTTGCTTATAATGTTCAGGTCACAAAGCAGGCCACCTGGGAAACCGCAGGCACCTGACAGGCCTGTAGGGGGCACCCAGGCTGTAGCCAACACAATACTGTTGGTGACACAACCTCATCCCACGCAAAGAATGTGAGGAGCTTCCAATATTTTTGTCTGCATGCCAATATACAAGTTCACTTTATCCCTCTGATAAAGGCATTGCGACAACTTAATGTTTAAACGAAACAAACTCAGCTCTTGATATTACATGCAGTGATCCCCCGCTTATCGCGGAAGTTACGTTCCAGACCCATCAGCAATAGGTGAAAATCCGCGATATAGAAAAACTATATCAATAAATATTTTTTATAGTTTAAGCCTTAAAATATCCCTCCTACACACTTTAAAAGCGATAGGTGAAAATCCGCAATATATAAAAAACATATAAATAAAGTTTTTTATATAGTTTAAGCCTTAAATCGCAGGGCTTAAAACAAAATGAAAAGTTCACAAAAAGTTTGTTCGCAACAATTGGACCACAAGCAAGGTACGCGATACGTAGAGAACTGTGATGCGTCGGGGAAAAGTTTGCGATATAGCGGGGGCACGATGGCTGAACCGCAATATCCTCCTGGGACCCCACCCATTCATTTATATGGAAGCCCGTTTCCGCCACCGGGGAAAAAAATAATATAAAATTTAAGTCGAAATTTCGAGATATTATCTCGAGATAACTAAGTCGAAATTTCGAGATAATATCTCGAAATAACGAGATAACTAAGTCGAAATTATCTCGAAAAAAGTTTTTAGTTTTAATAACTTTTCACAGAAGGTGGTGCGTTTTTAATGACAGAATTGTGTTGTCCAGTACACAGACAACGATGCACACCGATTATTTATGCGCTTCAAATCATTTCGTGATTTGTGCAAAATCATGTTAATAGCTAATATTATAGGTGCTGTCAGCTGTAATGACATGGTGGTTTAGCATTTTGGGCTCATGGCGACTGATGCACACCCCTTTGTTCCCTAGATTGCTTTACGTATGAATTTTAATTAATTTTTGAATGTTCGAATGTATCCGTATAATGTGCAATGGGACAATACATGAATGGGTTAATAACTTTAAAACTAGACAAGACAGGCACTTCTAGTGAAGTGTGCTTTGATCAATGGACTACAGGGAACAATGCACACCCCTTGGATTTTCAGAATAACTTTCTGTCTATCAGTTATTAATTAATACATTGTATCCATATTATATGGCATAGGGGTAATGCACTAAAGGGTTAATATGTCTGAAACAAAATGAGACAGCCATGTCCTATGAAGTGTGCATGGATCAGGGGAACCTGGGGGACAATGCACACCCTTTGAATTTTCAAGATCACTTTCTGTCTAACAGTTATTATTACATCGTATCCATATTACATGCCATTGCTCCATTTCATACATATTGACAGTTAATTGATAACACAAATTAATCCATAAGTAAGTTGTAAAGTGTGATTTAGGCAGTGCATCGTGGGACAAAGCAAATGTATTGCTTGATTACGTGTTTCGTAATTGGTGTGCATCGTTGTCTGTGAACTCGACAACACGATTCTGTCATAAAAAATGCCCCACCTTACTTCTGTGAAAAGTTATTAAAGCTAGAAACTTGTTTCGAGATACCAAGTCGAAATTTTGAGATAGTTATCTCGTTATGTCGAGGTAAGTCGAAATTATGAATTTTAATTAATTTTAAATTTCGAGATATCACGAAATAACGAGATTTCGACTTAAATTTTATATTAGTGTAGCGGCTAGAGGACTAGGACTATTTAATGTTTATTATAGGGCAGTCCTCCCACCCCTTTTCAGCCAATCTCGGGGGGTTTGGAGATAGCGGGAATGTGGGGTACCTGCGGAGTGGATAAAAGGAAAAGTGGCGGACTCCGCACAACCTTATATATACTGGGGAACATTAATTGTTGCTCGTCTTTTCTGTTGCATCCTGTTCTTTTTGTGAGTTTGGTGTGGGCTGCGGCCGTACAGGGTTCATTAAAGTGCTCTTTTGAGTTACGCATGTTGTCTGGTCATTACAATTGGTGTCAGAAGTAAAACAACAATTTTGCTACTTTTCATTTTTCGGGGTTGCCGACAGTAGCGCTTCGCTATTAGGTGCTTTTTGTTTTCTTTTCTGTGCGGTTTTCCTGGCACTTGTTTTGTGGGAGATGTTTCAACCGGGGATCGCTGGAGTTAAGCCGGACCCGGACGTGGCGGCTCGGGACAAGAAGCTCTACGCTGCAGAGGCCAGGCCCAAGACAGCCTTTTGCTTAAATGGGGGGCTATGGCACTTTAAGGTTCTGTGCTTTGGCCTTTGCAATGCACCGGCAACGTTTGACCGCTTAATAGATAGGGTGCTTTCGGGCATTCCCCGGAGTGAATGTCTGGTTTATCTGGATGACATTCTTCATTCTTGCACACGGCAGCTCCTTCCAGAGTGCTCTGGGTGCCTTATAGGGTGTATTGACTAGAGTGGCTGCGGCAGGTTTGAAACTCCACCCAGAGAAGTGCCGTCTGATGAGGAGGGAGGTAACGTTCTTGGGTCACAAGCTGGGGGGGTTGGGCATTGGCACTATGGAGGATAAGGTGCAGGCTGTGAGGGACTGGCCCACTCCAACCACGCAGCTGCAGCTTAAGGCCTTCCTAGGGTTAGCCTCCTACTACAGGCGGTTTGTGCGGGGCTTCTCTTGTACTGCTGCCCCCCTCGTTAGACTCCTGCAGAAGGACTTCCCTTTTGTGTGGTCTGAGGAGTGCCAGGCTGCCTTTTCCTCCCATAAGCAGGCTCTGACTGGGGCCCCTGTGTTGACCCCCCCCAACCCCAGCCTGCCTTTCATTCTGGACACCGATGCCAGTAATGAGGGGTTGGGCGCGGTGCTCTCTCAGGTGGGGCAGGAGGGGGAAAGGGTAGTGACTTATTACAGCAGGGTGTTCAATAAGGCGGAACGACGCTATTGTGTCACCTGGCGGGAGACTGTTGCTGTGCTGTGTGCTGTGCGCCACTTTAGGTATTACCTCTGCGGCTTGCCCTTCACTGTCCGAACTGATCATTCAGCGCTTCGATGGCTCATGTCCTTTAAAGAGCCTGAGGGTCAGGTTGCACGCTGGATTGAGGAGCTGCAGGCTTATGACTTCACGGTCGTACACAGGGCGGGGCTGCAGCATGCAAATGCAGATGCTCTGTCCAGGCGGCCGTGTGCAACTGATGGCTGCAATTATTGTGTGAAGAGGGAGAATCGAGAGTGAGAACTTGGTGATGAAGAGGTGAGTTGCGCTGTTGCGGGACTGGTTTCATGGGGGCAGGCAGAGCAGCTAGGTGACATAACAGAGTGGGGGCAGGAGCAGAAAGGGACACTGACCTGCATCCTGTGTTCCAGTGGGTCCGAGGCCAGCAGCGGCCACCCTGGGAGGAGGTGGCTGCTCTGTCATCTACCACGAAAGGCTTGTGGGCTAAGTTTGGGACTTTATGCCTGTGCGATGGGGTGCTGCAGCGTGCCTGGATTGAGCCTGCCACGGGGGAAGAGAGGTGGCAGGTGGTCGTTCCCAAGTCCATGCGTGAGAAGGTCCTCCAGGCTGCTCATGGGGCCGTGGGGTCTGGACACTTCGGCGTTACGAAAACACTCCGGCGTGTTAGGCAGTGTTTCTACTGGGGGCTGCTGAGGAGGGACGTGGAGGATTTCTGCCTTCGGTGTGATCCCTGTACTGCCCGGAAGGGGCCACAGGGTCAGTCACGTGCCCCCCTCCAGCTGTTCCCTGTGGGCTCCCCCATGGAGAGGGTTGGGGTAGATGTGTTGGGCCCCTTCCCATGTTCAGACCACGGGAATCGTTTTGTGTTGTCTGCAATGGACTATTTTACAAAATGGCTAGAGGCTTATGCACTGCCTGATCAGGAGGCAGAGACCATTGCAGACACACTGCTAGAGGGGATGTTCAGTCAGTTTGGAGTGCCAGGGTCCATACACAACGACCAGGGTCACAATTTTGAGTCACGAGTGTTCACCAC